TAACTTCCGCAGGGGCACAATGACATCATACTTCCAAATAGCTGGATTTGGGAGATGTACCTGTCTGTGACACTGTTTCTGAATTCCCACACAAGCTTCTCTTGCCCCCAGAGCTCACGCCAGCAAAAGCTCTGCTCCTAAACTCCACAGATCCACTCAGTGTGGCTAATATCACCCATTAGTCAGCGGCTAACTGACCCATGCAGTCACCAGCTGCCCAAAGAAAAAAAAAAGGAAAAATAAAATGCCCACAGCTGATCTGATTAATTTTAGGTGGTGGTTTGAGGATGGAATGGATTTCAGCTGGTCTGTGTAGCTAAATACTCAGTGACTATAAGGGGAACTTTGGGTGACCACCTTAGGTTGGTAAATCTTGCCCTCGATGTCCCCAGTTGACCAGCAAGGCTGGTATTATGTTGGCAAGCACACGTGGCGTTTGTGCCTCTCTGTTGGCTAATGAGTGTCTGTGGAACGAGAGGGTGGGAGGTGTTGGGCTCATAGCAGAGGTTCGCGGTAAAAGACGAGTGAGATGTTGAATATGCAAGTTTTGGTGAGTTGCGACTGCAGTGCTCGCTTGGATGTAGTGCTTCCAGGACCTCTTACCTACTCTTTCATGGTCCTGAACAGCAGAGGCAGAGAATACATGAAGCAGATTGTGTTAAGTGTGTCAAACTGGACCATAACCTGAATGTATGTGTATGTTCCTCCGTGCTCCACAGGGCACAAGGTTTCTGTGGCCTTGGAAAAAGAGGAACTATAGGTATATGTATGACAACAGCCTTTTTCAGTCAATCTTCTGTCCTAACAGACCATCCCCAGGAGCTGCCAGCTTAGGATGCTTAGAGAAAGAGGTAGCTCTTATGGTTGTCATCTTCTAGCTTCTGGTGATCAGCAGTTTAAGACCTTCCTGCATCAGAAATTTGCATCCAGGCTACAGTGTTTAACAGCTACTGATGAATTTGTCCCTTATTAATTTGTCTAATCCTATTTTTAATCCACTGATACTATTTGCTTACATGCATTGTCCTGTTTCTTTTAGACCTTGTTCTCTTCATCTTGAGTCTCCCAGGTCTCAAATTCTGCAAAACTAATTAACACCCTTTCTCTGCACCACCCAGTATCTTACAGACACCTCTCATCCCAGAACCTCCGGTCCCATCTCCCTCCCAACCCAAGGGATCCAAATCCACGCCAAAGCAGTGGCTGTCGCTCCCACCTGTTAAGAACTCCTGCAGCCCACACCTCAGCACTTCTGAAAATGAGGCCACTTCTTTTGCTGCCTAGGGATATTCAGATTCCAAAAAGTTGGCATACACAACTGCTAATGATTTTAGCAAGGCTGTCCCGCAGTATTTTTGGATCAGGTGTTGAGATTGTTTGTCAAAGAGAAAGTTTTGCCAAGCCAGATCTAAATACGTCTAATATCATGAGTGCATCTGTGTTGCAAAGCAAATGTTCATGTGGATTTTTTTTAACCTTTAACAGCCAGGATAGAAAGATGAGTAGGGCAACATTGTCTTAAGATCGGAAG